TAGTCTTGCAGTGCCCAGGCTTATCTGTGCACGGGGGCAGTGGCCTACTTTAACCTTCTGCTCGCTCGGTGCACGCGGCCGTCGCTCGGTCCGTCACCCGTGCGCCTCGTTCACAGTAACTCTCTGACAAACCATCAGCTTTTACACATCACACCTCTAACTATGCGATTTCATATTAAGTCCAGCGTCCAACAGATTTCTTTCCCCCCAAAGATTATTCCAAAAATAGTTTGCACAACTTGACTTGAGTAATCGCGCACGCTGGTACCAGCAAACGCACACACACACAAACACAAACCTGCAGTGGTCAGCTGCCTGACCACTAACAGCCCGCATCACGAGGCCGTAAGTGGAATACGCTCGGATGCTCATGTGACGGAACGTCGTGCGAGCGGACCGAGGGGTCGGTAGCGCTTGTCATGTGGCATTTGACCAATGTTCTTTGACTTACAACTTCAACGATCGACGATCTCTAATGCCTTTGAAATTACAAAATGTGACAGACGCTCCGTCGGCGTGACAGCTCTGCTTACGGGCCGCTGTTTGTGTTTCCTTGTGTTCGTAGCGGCGGTGCATTAGGAGCGCAGTAAGCCGGGCTAGTCGGACTCCAGCATTAAGCTGCGCAGGCGAGTCTCTGGTCGCTGTCAGGGAGTTGGCGGTCGTTGCTAATAGGTCAGCTGGGAGGGGCGGGGCGGGGGGGGGCAGAGGTTTTTTTTTAAGGCTCTTTCATTGGGTGAGGCAAAAACAAAGGTGAGGAGCGCAGGGGAGAGAGTAAGCAAGTGAAGGAAAGGAGGGATTAAGTGGGCAAAGTCACGTGAGCAAAACAGCTGACGGCCGTCGTCGGAATTCCCACCGCAAGTTCGGTCGCGCGTTTTTTTGCCGTACACGTGGGACGGGGGCAACATTTCTTTGTTTGTGAAATATGAATGAGGACGTTTTATAATAACGCTCCCTCTGGACGACGGGCACCAAACAGGCCCGTCCTAAAGGCTGGGATTGTTTGCTGACGTGTAGCATCCTCTTACCGTCTTATCTAAATCCAATGTTAGTAATAGAGTTATTACTATCAAATGTAGTGTGAGTGGTTATTCAAAAGATTATATGAGACGTAGAATCGAGTAGAACGGCGGCGTAGTTTGCAGCAGAAGCTCAAAGGAATTGATTGACTTTCTGGAAAAGTTTGAAGAAGATTGACACCACTCCCATGTTTGCACATTATAATGACTGACTCTCCTTCACACTGCACATGTAACTTTAACTGTAATTTTTCACTTTGTCGTCACTTGTCACTTTGGCACCTTTGGCACTTTATTTTTTAAATATTTTTTAACTTTTTAAATATTTTTAATTTTTAACTTTAACATTATTCTCTTATTTTATACTAACCCATAGCCTTATTCTACTAACCCATTGCGTAGCATTTAATTTAATTTTATTTTATTTTATTACTTGTGCACTGCTGTCTTGTTGTCTATTGTTACACCGTCTACTGTCACGCACCAACTTGTATGTATGACATATTTTGGCAATAAATGTTTCCTGATTCCTGATGAAGCTAGCAGCAGGTTAGCTTAGCTTCGCAAAAGTAATAGAAAATAGGGGGAAAAGAGCAGCTGGGCACCCGAGCGTACCACCTGACCTCCAGGCGTACGCGTGTGCTCGCCTGCCGGTTCACGCGCGGGGGTGACGCCCATCACGGAGCTCGTGGGGCGCCGGTGTCTTTGCGCGCGATGTGGTCGTGCTTGTGTTTAATTTGATGTTTAAAAGGTATTTATTTGTGTTCTTGCAGAAGATTCGCTTCCACCGCGGCTTCGCCAATGGCGTTAGAGTCCGAAGGGAAATCGCAAGAGGACTCGGAACAAACGCAAAATGTGATCAGAGCGGCCAACTGTCACGCCGGAAGGAGGGGATGCATGATTTTATGCTCGATCTCTTTCTCTTCTGCCACTCACTTCTTCAGAGGTCTCACGCTCGTTTCAAAAGTTTGCTCATCCTGCTCGGAAAACGGCCAAATGTCACAAAAAACGAGGTTACGGCTACAAAAGCAGCTGCAATTATCCGACATCCCCCGTTGGGTTTTACATCTGCGTTGGCCTTCGTTGAGCTGCCTTTCTTTTGTCTGACTTTTAGCACCATCGTTGATGATCTCACTTAAACAGGTGAATGTGTGTGTGTGTGTGTTTGTGCGTCCCGGCCCACACACTGAATCCGTGCCAGCAGCTCCTCACATCGCAGCACCGGGGGCATCTGTTGGAAACTGGAATAAAAGTAAAGGCTATGAATAAAAGAGCCGCATGAATAAAAACGCAGGATGCAAATGACTTGCCAAGCAGAGGTTGTGCGCGCGCGCGCGCGTGTGTGTGTGTGTGTGTGTTTGTGAGAGAACGAGAGAGAGTGAGTGTTTAAGTGAGTGAGAGATTGGAAGTGTTGTATCCACCCCGCATTGTCCTCCATCCCATCATGGCTGCACCTTAGCATGACAGAGTTAGCTCACACACACACACACACACACGCACATGCACATTTCCATGCTCTCTGCGGTGTGTGGTTTTCTCATGCATTAATCAACAGTAGTTTTGACACTCGGCTCCTGAATGAGGAGAGAGAGGAGTGTTTTTACGGAGCTTGTCTCCTTCGCTCCGCTGGCGCTGCCTGGAGTCACTCCATCAATTAGGCCCCCTCGGAAATCAAGCAGCATCCTTTTCTCCTTTCCTCTGTCCTCCTCCTAGCTCACTCCTCCCCTTCTCCCAATTTTTTATTTATTCCTCCTCCATGTATCCCTTCCTCGTATTGTTCCCTTCCCTTGATCTCTTCCCTTCCCCTGCGTCCTCTTTCTCTGCTCATCAACCCACTCGCTTCCTCTCATAAAGGACCACTTAAAGGTCATTTAATCAGACCTATACGTACTATTATTGGCAAAAAAAGAGAAAAAACACTCTGACTGGGGCTTAATCAGGAGCATCATTTGTCTACTTCACGTATATCTTTGCAATTCCCTGTCTCATTTCCATCACAGACCCCATCCTGGAGACATGGAGATGACTAACGCCTGCTGTGCTGCAATCAGCTCTGGGCAAGAAGATGAGAGAAATAAAAGCAGAAACTACTGTAGATTCCAGGCTGCTCTTTTGAGAGCTTTGTACTGAGATCTGTGCAGGATTCATTCAGGAGGAGCAGCTGCCCACCGGACGCGCTCAACGGGCAGCGATGAAGAACCGTGCAACAGTGAGGCAATGCCGAGCAAGTTGGGTCGATCCGTCCCCGTCTCTCGTGTCTCAGATGCGGCCCTGAGGGGGAGAGAGGGGGGGGGGGCAACCGTAACTGCACGGCGGTGGGTGGGACGCCACGTGCGTTGCGTCGTGGTGTGTGTCCGCCTCCTTTGGATCGCGGGAGATTACGCAGAGGTTCCTTAATCCGCTGTTTTGAAACGAGCCCTCCAGCTGTTGTGGGCTTGAGAGGCCGCTGCCTTGGAGGAGGCTTAGGGACGATAAGAAGCTCTTTCTATCTTCGCTCCTCTGGGTCCTCCTCACTCTTTCTCCCGTATCTTTCTTTTCTGAAGTCTTTCTTTCTCTGTCTCTCGCCCTCCTTAAATCCAGTTTAGGAGACTAAACGCGCTGATCTCATGCCGCCAGTGCAATCTCGTTTTTCCATATGGGCCGTAACCCTTTGTGTCAACTCCTGTGCTGCTAAATAAGAGCATCGGTTGCATGTGTGCGTGAAGTGAGCATTGTGTACACAGAGGATGAAAGAAGATCCGATTAGAGAGGCGACCAAAGACTGGATGGGTCTCAAAAAGGGCTAAAAGTGCGCTTTAAACTGCGGCCGCATGCCCGTCGTATTGTTCCAGCGAGGAGTCACACTGCCGTGAATGCGACATGTACACATTCCAAGTGGAATTGCTTGCATAATGCATGGCACCGAGGCCCGCTGCGCGTGTTGTGTCTGCCAGCAGAAGGAAAGCGTGGGAGGTCTGCGGGTTTTTCGGACACGCCGAGAGGGAGCAACAGGCCGTCTGTCAGCTACAATGTGATGTGATGTTCAAAACCCCCAAATGCAGCAGAAATGCCTGATATTTTGCGACTCGGGAATAATACGCATAACATGACGTATGGTTTGGTTGTGATATTTCTTGCACTTGACATCCGGGTTTGACTCCTGCGTACCACTTAAATGACGCGCTGGCGGTTTCTACTATTGGTTCATGGTATAAGATCATCATCTCACATTATCGCTAACGAGAATGATTCACAGGACGTGATCAATTATCTGTAATCACATCAGTGCCCTCATCCTCCTCACCGTGTTCAGATAAGGGTCCTCCCCATGGGAGCTGTTGGACATGGACACATGCTTGCGAGGGAGATCTAACTCAATTTCGGCGTTAAAGTCTTTAGCCGGTCTAGAAATAGGATGCTGCATGTACATATTTGTCTCTGTGGGTCTGTAACGGCCGACAGCTGGATGCGCGTCGTGGGAAAGACTCTTCCTGGTGCTCCAGGTTTGGGTTTGTTGCACAAGACGGCGAGCTATCCTGGTTTTGTTTGTGTGCCGCGTTGGCAGCAGACGGGGTCTGAAATAACCGTCACTATTGTAGAATCTTTTGATACTGACGCTGTTCCCAGGTTGGCCACGAGAAGCAGGGTGTTTCAGGGAACTAATAACTCGAGAGGCAGCTCCCCCATTAAACTATTGCATATTTCATGTGCTCCTTCGCAGCGAGGTCTAGATGATTGTTTGGCTGTCGAGGGGCATTTCAAAACGAGCTCGGTTCAGACGTCATGTTTGTTGTGCTGCGGAGAAAGGACGCGCAAAGAAATGAAACCCTCCTCACAGTGTCTTTCTAAGTCCAATACACTGCAGAAAGGACAGTAAAGCAGGATTGTGCACCGTGCATCCAATTGAAATTGTAGAGGCTGCATTTCGATATCCCCCGGGTTGCTGTTCCTGCTTTCCTACTGTGCACCCGAGTCGCTGATCGCCGCCTCTTTTCCCTCCCGCAGTGTGCGTGCGGGCGCTGGACGTGACGGCGTCCCAGAGCAGCGTCCAGGTGGCCCGAGGCCAAGCGGCCGTCCTGCCCTGCTCCTTCACCACCAGCGCTGCCCTCAACAACCTGAACATCATCTGGATGGTGATACCGCTGTCCAACGCCAACCAGCCAGAGCAGGTACACGGCGCTTTACCCGCCCGACGCCGCCGCTGCCACTCAACCCCGGTGGCAGCGCGTCCCTCGTGCATTGTACAGTATGTTGTTGATATTTGCACCCAGCAGTTGCTATAATGTTAATACATGTGCTGAGATGGACTGTACCACTGAGATGCATGTAACTCATACTCCAATGAAACGCTGCCGCCTCATGTGGATGCCCGCGCTGCTTCCCCCAACGCCGACCGTACAGTCCAAGCAGGTACACGCGACTCCGTCGGCCCTACGGTGTGCTCAGACACACAGAGAGAGAACCCGAGCTGACCTTATTTATGTGCACGTATGTGCTCGATGTGCAATGTGCCTCCTCTGCAGAGTGCAGCACAAATAGACGAAAGCTCTCTTTCCCTGTGAATCTGAACGCACCTCTAGGAGGACATTAGTTCTGCAAGATGGCTTCATTAGTAAATAGACGTAGCTGTGAGCTTACGGTGTGTGCATAGTGCAGCCTGAGGACAGCGATGTCACGTAGCACTCGATTGTATTGCCTTGGCCGTATTGTTGTGAATCTTCCTAACCTGCCGTTCTCTGCGCTCTTTCTCTTCTCACCTTCCCCCCCCCCCCCCCCCCCTTGGGGGGATTCCGGGATTTCATTTGAGTTGTTTAACAATGCAGCTGCTTGCCATACAAGCTCACCTGCCTCCCCTTCACTTTGAACCCCGGGCGCCGGTCGGGCTGTCCAAATAATACAATCATCTTCTGCACTAATTACCTCTCACCCACGACGGGCTCTACAGCACAGCTGTTGTCTCCACGCGCACACACACACACACACACACACACACACACACACACACACAAACTGGCAGACAGACTGCTGGTACAAATGCAGTGTAGATCCACAAGGAGGGCTTTTATACATTTACCGGCTTTGCATATACACACACACACACACACACACACGCACGCTGCGCAAAAGAAGTGTGAAAGCCGCAGTGGACGTTTGCGTACAGCCATCAAGCGTAATGCGCACACCTGTGGATGAGGGCTCGCAGTGACATGAGCACGTATGGCCACTTGCTCGTGGATGGATGCGTGCGTGTGACCGTGTGAGGCGAGTGATGCCGGGAGCTGGAACACGTTGGGGACGCAAACGTTAATTGTGCTCTCACGCTGTGCTTTTTGTCGATGGGAACATTATGTAAAAGGTCGAGCACACGCTTTTAAAAAAAAAGATTGCACTCTGGCAGATTGAACAGGACATCCATACGTGCATAAAGTGACACACACACACACAGAAAAACACTGTGTGAACCGCCGCTCTGCAACCAGGTTGCACGTGTGAATTTTGAATTTCAGTGAGAAGTCTAAACAGTGAGTGATGCATTAAAGGTCACTGTAGGGGGAAGAGAACGTCACAAATGATCACAGTTGATGCTAAAAGCCATTAAGAATGACTGAACAGAACCCAGCGCACCACCGGCCGGGGGCCTTTAAGCGGGTGCGCTCGGACCGCTCGGATCCCACGCCGCTGTGGATCTGAGCGCGGCGCTCAGACAACAGGAGACGTGCCGCCGTACGTTGCGTTGGTGCTTTTCACTCGCTAAAAGCGCCGCCCTGGTTGGTTCCACATCATCATGTCCCTGTGCTGCAAGGTGTGAGATGATCCAGACACAGACACACACCTACACACACTGGCATTAGGCAATGGTGTTATGTTCCTGAGCTGTTGATCCTCTCTAAACCGTTTGTGTTATTAATGCTCCAATAAGAGCTTCATGTTCACTCTCGTCTCGCACCACCTGTGAGACTGATTCCTTAAACCGACTCTGTGGTTGAAATGATTGAAACAGTTGATGTTTCACTCAGGAGACATTCCTTCCGTGTGGAGAGACGGACAGACTTTATCTCTTATCATACATGTTTTGAAATCCAATTTTTCTTCATATTCACCCTTTATTTCTCTCGTTGAAAAGAGGAAAATGGGATCATATTTAGAATTTATACAATCTGGGACAAAAATGGATTAAAGCTTCCTTTCCAGGAATTGAGGAAACGCGTTTTAACACTTCCCCAATGAACTCGCAGGGTAAACAATTGTGCATGTTTTGGCGAAATGATTCTCTGGTGAAATCGAGGTCAAAGAAAGCCTGTGGTGCAGAAACGATGTTAATCTGTAATTGAGAACATCTGGGTTTCACGCCAATCAGATTCAAACCTTCACGTGGGAATGAGAGGTCTGCCAGATCGAATAGACGCCGCTTTCACGTGCACCCTCGAACGCGACGCCCCTCTGCTCGCTGCCTCCCTGCCGGGCCTGCGCGCCGCATTTCTGCAGGACACGTTGAACGAACAGAAAACCCCGGACGAAGCCAAACACCGGCGTCGGATGCCGTAGCTCTTCCCTGCGGAGAGGCAGCGGAGGAGATGGTGTGACAGCTGCACCGTCTCATATGCTCCAATGCGATATCTCCTGTATTGATTTGCACAGCGGTATTTCTTGCTCTTCCCTCCGGAGACGTCAGTGTGCAGACTCGGCATCAGTACAGTAATTTACCGCGGGAGGGTTTTCACTGTCTTTCTTCTGCCGATACGAGAGCTTAGTTGAAAGACACCGGTCACCATCCCATTGCTCTGCTGCTACGCACAGTACATTGTTGCACCTAATCGACGGACAATTGACATCGTGGCTTTATTTTTTTTAACGAGACAGTGCCAGTGTCCCATTTCTGGGGCCAAGAGGGTCTTTACAGGAAGGATTCCTGTGTGCATCCACCTGTGGCTCAGGCTGGATTCCCACAGTGCGTGTGTGTGTGTGTGTGTGTGTGGGTGGGGTCAGGGCAAGCAGATTAGATTGTTAGGTCACCAGGAGTGTGCAGCCAGGTCACACCGGTGCCGTCTGTCGGAGATGGAAATAGAGAAGAGGGCAGAGAGCTGCAGACGGACAGAAACTGGAGACAAGAAATAGGAAAGAAGAAAATAAGTGAAAGAATGAGGCGGAATAATCATCGCAAACACTTTCCAAAAACGTCCCGTACACCGAAACGCGCGCGCACACACACACACACACACACACACACACACACACACACACACAGAAGATGCGGTTGCAGGCGCTCATCACAGCTGAGGAGCTGCCCATTCATCTGCACATAAGAGGACAAAGCGAGCGTAGGACTGCTCTCAGGAAATCGCAGCCGCGCAATTTACAACCACGGTGGTGCACACATCCCTGTTCCTTCATCAGAACTATCACTCTCTCACACACACACACTCACACATATGTATGCACGCACACACACACACACACACACACAGTGGTGCCAGTTGTTTCCCTGACTGGGTCTTTGAACACTTCAATGAGGGCTCTTTTCACCAAACTGAATAGTCCCTCTGATTCCCCACCACGCTCTGTGTGTACATGTGTGCGCGTACCTCGTGTGGAGCTGGTGAGACTTGTGTGTGTGTGTGTGTGTGTGTGTCCGTTTGCGCGTGTCCTCTTCATCTTTTGTGTGGGCCCATCTGAGGGGCGGCGAGAGCTGTTTTGCATCCGGCTCACAAACGAGCCGCTCAGCCGGAGTCGGAGGCCCGAGGAGCTTTTCAACAACCGTCGCTCTCTGATTCCCAACTCGAAGCTTTTGCTAAAATAAAAAAAGGCCTTAGTTGGCGTCTTGTCATTGGGATTTTGTTGGGAAAATCACTGGTGTAAACATAGAACTTGATTTAGTTTCCTGCTACATCCCGAAGTCGTCCGCCTTTGCTCTTGTTTGATTCACCCGATTGCAGTTTGTATGTTTCCCAGTTCAAACGCTTTAAATGATGCATATCCATTTAGTGGATCCTTTTATCTGAAGAGCCTCGCGGTACCATGAAAGCATACTTTAGTGCACACCCCGGAATCTACCCACTGAGCTAGAAACAACCACTCACAAATAAAACAGATTTTCATTCTCGTTTTGTTTGTTCGTTTCCCAAACGGCATAAAAGTGCGCTCGCTTTCTTCCAGCGCCTCCGCGTAGCGAGGCCGCCCTCTAGCGGCAGAACGGGCAACTGCAGTAAATCGCCACCAATCACACTCATAAAGCATCCAGCAGTATTTCCTTTCTTTCCCTGAAACCTTTTTTTTTCTCCTTTGCCACTTATGTCAAATGGAGCCCCCCCCCCCCTCTCCCTCCCTCCTGTGCGTCCGTAACCTCTCTGTGTTTTCTCTCTCTGGGGGGGGCGCCAGGTGATCATTTACCAGGGCGGCCAGGTGTTCAGCTTCGCCAACCACCTCAACGGCCGCGTGGGCTTCCAGGGCACCATGCCGAGCACAAGTGCCTCCATCTTCATCAACAACACCCAGCTGTCGGACACTGGGACCTACCAGTGCCTGGTCACAACCTCCCGGACAGAGGGGGGCGCAACATCGGCGTCATCGGGCTCACCGTGTTGGGTAACCGGCCTCGGCGAACGCGTCGCCTCACGACAACTGCAGATGTTTCATTGTCTGACACTTATTTAACTGGGTGGAGGCGAAGCGCTAAAAAGGTCAGCGTTGCGAAGCGGTTAAGGTGACATCTCTCTCTCTCCGTCTGCCAGTGCCCCCCTCGGCGCCGGCGTGTCGAATCCAGGGCGCGCTGGACGTGGGCAGTGACATCATGCTGATGTGCAGCTCAGAGGAAGGTATTCCCACGCCGTCCTACTCCTGGGAGAAGCTGGACGCGCTGCCCAAACTGCCGCACAACGCCATGCAAGGTATAGCAAACAAGCTGGCGGTCGGAGTTCCCTTTTGCCCCACCTTCGCCGGTAAATCTCACAGACGTAGCTTCCACCATCACCGCCACCTGTCATGTGCCGAGCCCAAACTCCCGCCCACCCAAGGGCCACTTCCCCCCCACCTCACTGATCCCACTGTGGTGGTTGGTTGGTTGGATGGTTACAAACCCCCGCGAATTTGTGTGTTTGTGTTGTTGTGCTCGCTCTGTCATGCTGAATGCCGAATTTGGCTTCAAATTTAGCTTAGCACCCGATGTTAAACTCTCGGGAGTCGGGATTATCCGAGTCGGGGTTTGTGGTTTTCAGCACTTGCAGAGCGCCGGTGTCGTGGACTCGCCTTCCCTGCTGTGCCGACTGCACAGGCAAACAATCTGCATCACCTTCTTTGTCCGCACACTGCTGGTCTGTAAAAGGCTGATACACAAAAAGTGACTTCATTCACATACACGGCAGATTAGCACAATGCTCCCGGTATTTTGTTTTCTCACGCGACTGGAAAGGCAAATAACGTTGAAGCTACAGAACATTTAGCGTACCTGCAAATTCAGCGACAGTACAAATTGAATCTGAGTCAGTTATGAGCTCTTGTGAGATCATAGTGAGGTATTACACAACGTCACAACTGTGTCGGTAAAAGGCGTTAAACTAACCAAAAGGCAGTGTTCTTGTAGTTGCATGGCACTATTATGCTGTTTATATTATTTTAAACCCTGTAAAGTAAATCTCAATTATTTGCAAGATATTCTATATTGTTATTTCAATATAAGCTATTTAACAGCATTTGTTTTAAGACAAACATAGTATCATTTTGGGAAGCATCTCCAACTGGCGTAACGAGTTTAACCTTCTACGACGAAATAGTCTTTTTTAGCAATAAAGAAACGGCATCCTGGATTTGCCAATGCCACCCTCATATCTCCGTGTGTGTTCTAGTTCTAGTCGCGACATTTTCATCTCTCGGCTGAGGCCTTTTTATGGGATCCAGTAGTGTGCGGCTCGATGACTCAAAACTCACGACCCAACCCATCGATCATCTGTGACGATGAAAGGAATACCTACAGCTTCACGTTCTCACCGTATACCTAAAACGCCCGGCTCTGTGTGTGTGTCCTTCAGACCAGATGCAGGGCACAGTGACCCTGAGAAACATCAGCACCGGGACCTCAGGACTCTACCAGTGTACCTCCAGCAACGCTATCGGCAAGAGCACCTGTCTGCTCAACCTGGAGGTGGTGGCACGTGAGTGGGTCCATGTGACGCTGCCGTTGGGACCGTAAAGGGGGGGGGGGGGGCGGTTATGGAAACGCTGACACGCGGCTGGTGTTAAAAAGTCTTTCCCCTCCATCCTGGAAGCAAGCTGACCACCTCATTGTCTTATTTCCCCCCTGCAGCCCAACCCCAAAGCGTGGGTCTGATCGCAGGAACCATCGCCACCGGGATCTTGGCCGTCATCATCTGTTCCCTGTTAGTGGTGTTCACGCTCTTCTACTGGAAGAACAAGAACAAATACGACGAGGAGGAGATCCCCAACGAGATCAGGTGGGACTTTGTGCGGTTGTTCCTGTGCACTGGATGGTTGCTGATATGACGCTATGGCGTGTGGATCTTTGTAGTCTCTCTTCTCTATTTCAGAAGGCGATAAGATGCAGCCTGATATTTCCCACTCGAGAACGATTAGCGGGTCCGCAGAACAGCCACAAAGAATTAGTTAGAAAAAAAGCTAATTGGATTTACAGTTTGGAGAATTCAGCTTAATTTTATCTCCTGACAGCAAATGTTTCCGTCGCCAGAGGCTAATTTGTCCGTTCAAACAGTGTGTGCGACAATTTCTCCCCTCAATCCCTTTGTGAGTTTATTCTGACGAGACGTTCAGATATCTGGGGCTTTGCTTGATTGATGTCTGCCTCATTTTGGGCTTAATTCTGTCTTCAATTTACCCTCTGACAGCTCTGAAAAGCACATCAAGTATCTCTTATCTCGGCCAGATTTATCGGGAGCCAAACTCATTTACCCCCCAAAAAGAGATTGTTTGAATCCTTTATATGTACATCAGTGTTGTGTTATTTGTACCTTTGTCCGTCTACAGGGCAGAGTTCTATGAGTAGCTTCTATGCCCCTGAAGAGCTCTTTTAATACTGTGTGACTCCCATCGTTCGCGTCTCTCCCGAACAGAGAGGACGACCTCCCCCCCAAGAGGTCGTCGTCGGTGAAAGCGTTCCACGCCGACGCCTCGTCCTCGGAGAACGACACGCTGACGTCCACCAACACCTACAACAGCCGCTACTGGCACAACCCCAAGCCCAGCTACGACACCAACTCCTACACGCGCTACAACGGGGACACGCGCCAGACCGTGTCCGCCGCCCACGGCCACGGACAGGCCCACAACGCGGGACACGGGCCCGCGGCGGCGGCGGTGGCGCCGGGCTCCGCTCCGCTGTCCCGCCACGCGCACCAGCCGCCGCCGCCGACGTCGTTCGCCAACGGCAGCCACACGCTGCCGCCGCCCAAGACTCTGGTGGTCACCACGAACTCGGCCCCGTCCCCGGCCGCCATGGTGCGCAGCAACGGCTCCGTGGGCCTCAAGCCGGCGGCGGCGGCGGCGGCGTCCGCGCGCGGGCAGCACACGCACTCCTTCGCGGTGAGCCAGGCCACGCTGGAGCGCATGGGCGCGGTGCCCGTCATGGTGCCGGCCCAGAACAGAGCGGGCTCGCTGGTGTGAGAGCCCGACGGGACCCCGCCGGGCGGAGCGGCTACGGGCGGGGAGAGCGGCCCTTTGACCCCCCCCTCCCGCGCCCACGTCCCGGACGCTTTAACCTGGGGGGAACTAACTCGGACTGAACAGAAGTCCGTTCAATGCAAAGTCCTGGGCGGATTTGGCGTCCGTCGCTTGGATGAATTTGCAAAGCTGCAGAGATGCTTCCTGCAAAAAAAAACCCAACTAGTTCCCCATCGTCATTCTTTTGTTCTTTTCAAGGCTGCATCGGTGTGATGATTGTGGGCTTCTTTTTGGGACCCAAAGCCACCCGAGGCGTTGTGGTCTGTGCTGCACGGTCGGGGAGAAGCGAGCTGTGATTCCCCCAGAAATACACGCGTCTCTTGTTTTAGGATAACAAATTACGCCCATATTATTTCAAATAACTTCTTTTCAGAGCCGATGAGGATGGTGAATTGAAATAGTGAATGTCAACACGCCTGTCGGGGGAGATAGAAGTGCTAGAACAGGGGTGTCAAACTCATTTTAGGCCCGTGCCAGGTAAGTGGGCCAGACCATTAAAAATTATAGGGGGGGTCCCAGTCGTTTTAAAGGGGTCCCCACACTTTTTCTGCTCGCGAGCTACTTTTCACTCAAACGTTTCAGTCCAACTCATGACGATCTACCCCCCCCGAGCAGTACCTGACCTGACGTGATTTTTTACTTTTCCGGTGGCAGGTGATCTGCGGCCGCTGCGAGCGCGACCCCCCCCTGGTGGACTTTTTAGGAATAGCAGCGACTTTTTATAGAAACGCAATTTATGTCTTGAGTTTGACGCCTGTGTGTTAGAGTGAGTTGGTGACACGTGTGAAACGGCCTTAGAAGCTTAAAGAGAAGGTTTTACTGGGTGCAATACATCGCATAGGACGCTTTACTTCAACGAAAGCAAACGTTTTAATTACGTTTTTGCACTTTTCCACAGCAATTTTATATCAAAACTGCTGTCTTATGAACAATAACTTAACAACGACATGCCCCCCCCCCCCCCCCCCCCCCCAGAAAAAATGAGAATTGAACCCCTTAAAGGTAAAATGTAATAAGCAGGATTTCGCAGCAGAAGATTCAAACGTGACCCTGCAGATGGACATTGTCTGTTGGCGTATTTCGGCACACGTCCCATCGGTGGGACGACACAGACCAGAGGATGTCTTATTTCATACTGCTTTACAATGGGGTAAAAGATTACATTTGACATTTAAAGGGTGTTTTTCGTCCCCTTGACAAGCACCGATTGGTTTCTGCTGTACATATTTGAACTACCCAAGTAGGCTAGTGATCGTGAATCAAAGAAAACACATGACATACATGACTGATACATATTCTGCAACTCACGTGTCTTAATTTTAAAATGCTTCTTGTTAGACAGCAGGCTGGTTTTCATAGTCACTGTTGTTGTTTCATTGAAGGAATTCTCTTTTTTTTTTCTTGGAGTTAAATTTTCTAATAAGCATTGCCATTTCGTTACAAGGTCTTAGGTACGTATGGTTTTACATGAGTAACCATATGTTTGACTACGAGTAATAGGCACCTCTGCTGTATATGGTAGAACGTTTCACTGTGTTTCTGACCGACTGTATTTATATTTTAACCAAATCTCACCAGCCTGTTAAAAGAACTGTTACAGTGTTCCCAGATTTATCAATCCCTATTTCTAATTGTGCATTTCCTCAATGCCCATTACTAATAATTTGTTGTAGCTACGATGCAATATTTAATGCAGCTATTTTTTGTGTTTGACATGCAATATTCCAAAGTGGGATTATTTTGTTTAAGGAAATTCCTATTTGTTTTTGACACATGAGATTCAATTGAATGTGCTTTTTGGCATTTAAATATAGAGACAAACTAGGTTCTAACGTTACGAAACATGCTCCAGCTTTAACACATATAATCTCTTTATTTATGTTGCAGTTTTCTTTTCTTCATTTATATTACTTAGTCCAGTTAACTTCACTGGCTTTTATTTGGGGACGATTACAATTTATGTTTTCAAGGGCGTTTCATCATAGGTGTTATATTACACTCAAATACGTAATACTATTAATTAATGCTTTAAAAGAAATTTAGTTTGGAGGGTTGGCAGCTACCTTTAAGTGGTATTGGCATATTATTTTAGACTGGAATCCTGAACAAACAAATGCTCTTTAATCCCAATAAATATGTGGACAATGTGAGCAATAAATAAAAGCCACGGCGAGGTGCATTTGTTTTATTGCCGTCATCCCCGCTAATTCTCTCATTTATGGAGTAAGAAACAAGACCTGCCGACTCGTCACAACTCATTTTCCTCCACAGCTTGTCAGTGAAATAAGTCTGATGTTCAAGCTGACCTCCATCAAATGGTAAACCCTGTGTTGTTATCAGTTAGTACAACAATATGTTTGTTCATCTGTACATTTGACCCCAGTTTGCTGTCCGATTCAAATACAGTCCGCTGATCAAAGCCCCATTAATAGACTTTTTTACTCTGATAGTGTTTTTATATTGAATTTATTTTCAGTGGTCCTTTTCTCCCGGAGTAACCGCCCCGAACACCGGCCAACAATATGAAAGGAGAATTCCTCTTCTGACATCTCTGGGTCGGTTCCCCCCAGAGAAATGTTTTAAAGTGAGATTATTTTACTAACTCCGCCCTTTGTTTGCAGGAACAGTGGAGCAAAGAAAACTACTGAGACTTTAACCCAGATTGAATAAAAATATCTCATCTTCCACCCACACGCCAACACGCACAGGCTGGCGTGTTGTGCAGGGTGATACGTGGGTTATGTATATAGATAAATATGGATTTGTGATATATTGCCAATAGTTACGCCAATCTGTAAATATGTATGAAAAGACATATTGTTCTAACTGTTGGGTTCAAATGAAATAGGAAAAATAACACTGGAACTTGTAGTGAATAAATATTGTTAATACATTCTAATCTGCTTCCCACTCATTCGTTTGTTGCATGTTTTATTTGGCAATTTCCCAGCCTGCTTTGTGTTTTTTAAGTACAATTATGGTTAATAAAACAAACAATCAAAGGAAGAAAGAAGAGAAAATATCAATGACCTTTAATCTTTTGCTACATAAGTATTCAAGTGAAGCATTATTACAGAACAGAACCCCTCTGCTGTATTTTACATTCTACATATATATATATATATATATATACACATACAGTACACACATATACTGCATATACTACATGCATGCATATTTTGCATAATGTGTAGCTACTCTGCAGCTTGTGTTCAGGAGAAGCAGCTGGTTTGATATAAGTATCGTATATATTTCACGCTTTGCTCAGCGAGCTTTCTAGGAAGCATTCATCCGGCCTTTAGTGCTCCTGCAGGCTGAAGCCATCGTAAAGATGGGAGCTGCACCGAATGATGAAATGAATATGCAAGTCAGGTAGCTGCTTCATGCGCTTGTGGTTTACATTTCTTATATAAGTCCTGCAATGTTGCATAAAGGACATTTGGCAACTTCTGTTGCACAGTATTAAAGCTCTAAATGATTTGGTTCCTTCCGGTTCCATTTTTGAGGGCATGGCATTTTTTTATCAGTGGATGCATGTTGGATTTGTGTTTTTTATTCATGGCTGTGATCATATTAACCATCCGGTAATGGACAATATTCATATGAAATGCCTTGGAATGTTTTTCTTCTTTTAACCACTTGGGGGCAATGTTCATGCACCGATTGAATCCAGAGCAGAAATATGTTCTCAATTTCAGTCCCAAATCCCATCACAGGCTTTGAAGACAAGTGATTTTTACATTGCTTAATTTTGGAACAACGTATCTAATTCCTGTTTGTTTTAAGGGAAAACAACCAGTTTAACCAGAACGCAGACGTCTCAGGGTTTCACTTCTCATCTGAATTTCCACCAGTATTCCTTCATTCTCCCTCTGACCCATTTCCACTTTAAGAATCAACAGGAGTGAACTTTTGAAGAGGCACGACTGAAAAGGGCACCGGGCTGCTGAGGATCGTGATCGTCATTTGCACATCAGGCCGCCAGCACGCTGTGCATTCCTAACCACTGATGGATTCTGATATATTCCACCACTATGAGATGCCACGTTGGCATCTATGCCTCCAACCGCCGTGTGAAAAGTAAAACCTGATGTATCAGTCCTTTTGTTAAAGAGAGAGAGAGAGAGAGAAAGGGCGGACAAATACAGAAACCCATTTCCCAGCAGGCAGAGCGTTCCCACTGCGGAGCTGTATCCGGCCAATCAAGCCTCTGTGCTGTGCAGGCCGAACGCACATCCATCACGTGTGCTCTCCTTTCTAGTGCAGTACATAGACAAACCATCCCATAATAGCCCCGGCCCACGGAACTAGCTCGCAAACACAGAGAAAAGCCGGTGAAGGTTCCTTTCGTTTGTCAACTGATTGCTCGAACGCACCGACTAAGGAAGCGAGCGACATCGCTGTGGAAATCACGTATGACGTGTCACATGACACATCAGAAATCTATTAGAAGAATGGGACTCGTCATATGTTACCTTAATCAATACATGCTGACTGGGCGACCCTCCCCCCCCCGGCCTCTCTCACAGCAGACATTTGGACCTAACACAGAAGGAAGAGCTGAGGTGTCTTCTCAGTTGCATTCAAATGCTCCAATGAGGGTGACGCTGGAAACCCCAGGAGGCTGAACTCAAAGCAGCTGGATGGAAGTCATCCATTATTCATGGAATTATTTCTACCTGCACCTTCTCTACTCTGTGGATTTAAGATGTTGGGTGAAAAAAAAAGGCATGTAGTCAGGACACCGTGACAATGGTGGGGCAAATCCTGCTGTCAGCCGCCGTGTTGGGGAGGGGGGGGGAGCATGGCGCTTCACTCCTGGCCCCCGGGACACATCGCGGGTCGTTTGTTACGGCGTCGTCGATGTTTCCTTTCAATCTTCCAGTCAGTGTTTTAAACCTGTCGCCTTCCAAGGGAACCAGATACAACTAAATGCCCCTAAAAAATAGTAGACTAGTATTCCTGCAAGTTCAACACCACTCTCATTTTCAGTCGGCTTATGTAAGTTATTTTCACAGCATTTTGAATATTTTCAAACTAAATCATAGAAAGGATGAAAAGATAAAGGAAAGAAAGACGAGCTACGGCTGAACAATTCAAATCATCGTACTAGAAAGCAGAAGGAATTGTGTTAACGCGCCGAATGC